CGCATGCGCTGGTACCGCCTCTGAGGGACCTCGCCGCTCCCGGCCGCCATCTTGAGTGTGGCAGGACCGTCCGGGTCCTCAAACCCGCTTCTTTTCGGCCCCCTCCTCTACTTCCCGTGTTTCCCTGCTCTTCCATGCGGGTCTGAGGAGGGGGAGGCAGCTTTGCGGGCCCTGGGGTGTGGCTAGAAAAAGCGACGGACTCACAAGCACGCTCCCTGCCTCAGTTTCCCACGCGGGCATTTTGGTTGGAAACCCACGGAGGCGCCGGCCCGAGGGCGGAGTCCTGGTGACGTAGGCTGTGAACGCGACGGGGCCCGGGGTCCTAGCCCCGGGGCTGCTCTGCCACTTCGCCTGTCGTTTGCCCTCTCTGGGCCTCTGTTTCCATATCCAGGAGGCATGCACATTGAACCTCCCATAATGAGGCTGCACAGCTTATAAGTGCCCTTGAGTAGAACAGCTGTGGGAGACAATAAAGATGGCTTTGCTGGTTGCAACTGGCTAATTCTATATAAAAGTATTTGACACTGTAGCCCGGCCGGTGTGGCCCAGTGGTTGAGCGTCTAGCGTCTATCGTCTACCCACGAATCAGGAAGTTCATGGGTTCCCGGTCGGAGCACATGCCCGGGTTGCGCTTGATCCCGGTAGGGGGCGTGCAGGAGGCAGCTGATCGATGTTTCTCATCCGTGTTTCTATTCTGTCCTCCCTCCCTCTCTGAAATCAATTAAAATTTTTTTTTTATCTTACACTGTAAAATAATGGCTTTGGACAAAGTTGAGAAATTGTCTACTAAATGCATCTGAGGGGCATGCCAACACTGACATTTATGGCCACTGGTTGCTTTGCAAATCTTCACTGAGACCAGCTACTCAAACTAGCTACAGAAGGTGGACCATCAGGAGACTAGCGGTTACTAGGTCCGGCCCTCAAACTGCTCCATGCGGCATTCTTCGGTAGAGGCCCGCACGCTCACTGGCTCCACCTTCTGGTCCCAAGTGAGCCGACTTGGCAGTGGAAGACAAAACGGCCGCCTGCTATTGTACTTGAGCTTCCCATGTGTAGCCAGAGGCTGCAGACACCCACCTGGGCAGCCTTTCTGGTGTCCATAGTGTCTGGCCCCAGGCAGCTTGGTGAGGCTGGGAGTGTCAAAACTGGAGGCAGTAGTAGGAATAGTAAATAAGAGCTAGGGTTCTCGCCCTAGCCAGTTTGGCTCAGTGGGTAGAGTGGCAGCCTGCGGACTGAAGGGTCCAGGTTGATTCTGGTCAAGGTACAAACGGGTTGCAGGCTCGATCCCCAGTAGGGGGCGTGCAGGAGGTAGCTGATCAATGATTCTCATCATTGATGTTTCTCTTCCTCTCTGAAATCAATAAAAATATGTTAAATAAATAAATAGCCCAGATAGCCCAAGGCGGAGTGGCTCAATTTGGAGCATTGCCCCATACAACAGGGTGGAGGTTCCATTTGGCCTGGGCACATACCTGGGTTGCAGGGGACAGTCGATTGATATTCCACTCATGTTTCTCCCTCCTTCCTCTCTCTCTAAAAATTAAATTCTTTTCAAGAATAGTATATACACAGCCCTAGCTGGTGTTGCTCAGTTGGTTGGAGCCTTGTCCTGTACATGGAAAGGTTATGGGTTCGATGCCCAGTCAGGGCATGTATCTAGATTGCTGGTTCAGTCCCCAGTTAGGACGCCTGGGGGAGTAAACCAATGTTTCTCTCTCTCCTCTCTAAATCAATAAACATGTCAAAAAGAAAAAGAATAGCACACATACAGAAGTGTGCACAAAACAGAAATGTAAAACAATGTGTTTGTCACAAAATGAACAAAGTTATTGTCAAGCAGAATCCCCCAATGGGGCAATCTCCCCACTATTTCTGTGATAATCACTTCCTTGTGTTTACAGGTTTGTCACCTAAGCAAGCACCCTAAACACTAATTTTGTTTGCCTGTTCCTTCAACTTGATATAAGTGGAATTATACAGTCCTATTTTGTGCCTTTTGCTCAACATTGCATTTCCAAGACCCATTCATGTTGTTGCATGTAGCTATGATTAGTTCATTTTCATTGCTGTATTTTGTCTTCCACTGTATATCTATTCTACTATTGGGGGTATTTTAAGCTTTCTACCTCATATCTGTCTTCTGAATTATTATGGTAGTCTCCCAACTGGTCTTCTGTTCCTCCAACCTTGCTTCTTTCCTAGTGCATAATCCACCCAGTAGTCACAGGGCTCTTAAGTTTGATCATATTGCAAATCTGATCAGGTCACCCTGGGCTTAAAACCTTTGAGTGTCTCATCAATGACGGCGGGATTGTCCCAGACTTGGCTCACAAGGCCACAATTACAATGAGATACCATGTCCGTGCGTTTGTGATGGGCTGTGCCAAGCACTTTACGTAGAGTCACGTTATTCACGACCTAGACCTTCAAGCCATCTCCTTCGTCCAGTCCCAGCCATCTTGAACTACCTCGGTGTACCAGGTTGTCTCTTGACCCTGGGCCTTTGCTTGTGCTCTTACTCTCCTCGGTCTCAATCAGCCTTCGAGTCTTAGCTTACATGTCACCTCCACCAGGCAGCCTTACCTGAACTTAACCTCCACCAAGGCTAGGGCAGGTCCCCTCTTCTGTATGTCCATATCGACCTGTGCCCTGTGTCTGTTCTTTTTTTTTTTTTTTAAGAGAGAGAAGGAGGGAGACAGAGACAGAAACATCGTGAGAGAGTAATATTCATCAGTTGCCTCCAGTACATGCCCCAACCGGGTATGTGCCCTAACTTGAAATTTAACCCGAGACCCTTCGGTGCATGGGACGATACTCCAACCAACTGCACCACACGGGCCAGGGCTATGTCCATTTTCTTCGTCCACTAGGCTGTGGCAGCTTAAGGGCGGGGCCAGGGCTAGTGTTCCCCTTTGGCCTCAGGCCCAGTGCCATGCCTGACACTAAATCTTTGTGAACTGTGGGCAGACTACACTGGGTTGAGTCTGGGTGACCTTTTCGGGTACCCCCGTTTCTATTCCAGGCTCTGGTTTCTGTGATGGGAACACCAAGGCGCAGTGCCCTTTGGGATGCCAAGAAAAGCATGAGCTACCCAGTTTGGCAGAGTCCCTGCATCCTCCACTCCTGAAATGGGGGTGAGCAGTTGAGCAAAGATCCTGGGACTTTCAAGCACTCTGTCAACTTTTCTGTACTAAGAAGCCTCTCTGGACAGCAGGGCTGGGTTGGGAGAGATGGTTGGAAAAGCCGGGCTTCTCCAGCGATAGCCAGTCCTGGCTGGGAGCCAGCCTCAATGCAGGACAAAGCAGAAATAGAAACGTACAGGCTGAGGCCACCACATATCTTCACATATCCTCGGTGTGGAAGGGGAGCACCAGCATGACCCTGCTCCAGGCTGGCTGAGCCCCATACAACCCGTAGGCCCTGCTCTGCAGTTTCAGTTGCATGATGGCAGTTTCCAAAGGGAGTGGGCCTGGCTCCAGGAAGGCGATGGAAGGGCGGCTTCCACCCCAACTGTGGTTTCTGCAGGGAGTGGCTCGCTGGCCATTCTGGGGCCACATGAGAGAGAAGCCATTTAGGCCACGAATAGATGAGGGGAGTGGGGCGTCTCCTCTGGTCTTGCGGCCCCTGTCAGTGTCTGATGTGGTGTCCTGCTCCCTTTCACTTCCTCGCTGGGCTGGGCCCGATGTGTCCTGGAACCTTGAGAACCAGCGCTAAGTAAGGCAGGCTGTTCGCCCTCAGGGAGTCCACACAGGAGTGGGAGAAGCAGACACATAAACTCTTAGCTGCAGGGAGTCTGTCCAGGGGGTGGGCATGCAAAGGAGAAGACTTCACAAGAGGTGACTGGGAGCTGAACCTGCTGAAAGAATAGGATTTTCCAGGTGGCAAGGAAGGGGGAGGAGGCAGCCTGCGCCAGATCCTGGAGGTGTGGACAGGTACCGTATGTTGGGAGAATGAGCCTGAGCACAGCCAGGGACCGGAGGAGGTAGAGGTCAAACCAGGGCCTTGGAACCCCAATACAGTTTCTGTCCTGGGTTAGCGCTCAGCCTCCCCAGGTGGTGGTCAGGACATCTCAGGATCGGGATGGAGGCACCTGTAGCGTCCCGCCATCATCCTGCCCACTCCCTCTGACGCCCGCTCCCTCTGACGCCCATTCCCTCTGATGCCCATTTTTCTATTTTTGGCAGAGTGACCAGGAGCCATGATGTTTACACCCATATGAGCCGAGTCAGCAGATTTAAATTTCAGACTTCTTCAAAAAAGAAGTCAGGGTGACAGCTGGCAGCTTCCTGAAATTCTGAGATCAGAGGAAATGTTGACTTAGAGCCCTAGTGGGGGTTGGAGGGAGGATACCAACTGAGCTGGGTCCCAGTCGAGGGGTTCCTAGGACACTTGGCTTCTAACCCAGAGATCTCAGCCCTGGCTGGGAAGAACCTTTGAACAGCTTTATTGGGGTGTAATTTGCATACCACTAGATTTGCTGTCACCAAAAGACAGTTCAGTGATTTTGAGTAAATTTACACAGTTGTGCAGTCATCACAACTCAGTTCTAGATTCCCGTCACCCAGAGCTCTTGTGACTGTTTACAGTCAACCCCTCTCTATAGCCACCATCCCAGGTTAACCACTAACTGCTGTCTTGATAGAATTGCCTTTGCAGACCTTTCCTATGAATGAGATCATATAAAATGTAGTCTTTATGTCTTGCCTCTTTTATTTTGCATAATATATTTGAGATTCATACATGTGCATAGCATGTATCAGGAGTTCATACTTTTTATACTGCTGGACAGTATTCCATTGTATAGATAATATGCATTTTGTTTATCGGTTTACCAGCTGGTGGACATTTGGGTTGTTTGCACTATTATGAATAAAGCTGCTATGAACATTCACGTACAAGTGTCTGTGTGGGCATACATTTTCCTTTTTGTTGGGTGGACGATACAGGATAAGGGTGGGGGCATCTTATCGGGACCTCGGAGTGGAATTGCTGTAGAATAAATTTATGTTTAACTTTATAAGGAACTGCCCAATGTTTTCCAAACCCGTTGCCCTATTTTAACATTCCAAGCAGTAGAGTATGAGGGTTCTTGCCAATACTTGTTATTGTTGGTCTTTTTTATTATGTCCTGCTGAGGAACTTTTTTTTAAAGAACAGTTTATTGATTTTTTAGAGAGAAACATCGGTGTGAGTGCTCAACAACAATCAGCTGCCTCCTGCACGCCCCCAACCAGGGATCGAGCCAGCAACCCGGGCATGTGATCAGGAACCCAACGAACAACCTCCTGGTGCACCAGCGAGGGCCTGCTGACAAACACTCAGATACCCGGGCTCCATCAAACCAATTAAACCAGAATCTTGGGGTTCAGGGCCTAGGCATAGGTATTCAAAACAGAATAGAACAAAGCCAAAGCTGCCCTACCTAAAAGCTGCTCGTGTGCAAAGGGTTGAGAACCAGTGGCCTAACTTGAGGTCTGATTTCTGTCCTCCGGGCACTTAGGAGAGCACATGCTGGCCAGCAGCCTCTCCCACCCCAGGAAGGATATGGGCTTGGGGTGGGAAACAAGTTGCCGCCCAACACCACAGGCACAGGCCCCGCGCAGATGGGCCCCAAGAGGAAGGGGCCTGGGATTTCGGGGAGGAGCCAGCGGAGATCCTGAGGGGGAGGGGTGTCTCCCACGACCTTAGGATTGTTCAGGCTCCAAAAGAGATTAAGAAAGTATGACATTCCTGGCTGCAGACCAGCTGCAGATAACCCCAGAGAAATGCCAGGAGATGGTGGTGCCAGCAGGAACTACAGGGAGCTTAGAGGCTCAGGGGATCCTCAGGCCAGGGCCACACAGTCTGGGATACAATCTCTTCCTTTCAAAGGGTCTGCAGATAATAATAACCACCATGTTCCATGGACCAGACCCTGTGCTGGGGCTAGGGATACAGCCATGGAGAAGTGTCAGGCTCCCACCCCAGGGAGCTTAGTCTCCTGGAAGAAGCAGACAAAACAGAGTTGAACAGAATGCCGGGTAATGATGCTGGAAGGCTCTCGGTGGGGGCTACATTTAAGTAGAGATCTGAGTGAATGAAGAAAGCTAACTATGCAAAGATCTCTGTGCAAAGGTGTATCTGGTAGAGGGAAGCGTTCATGGAAAGCTTGAGGCTGAGTGAGTTTGGTGGTTTCCAAACAGAGGTAGAGGGTGGAGTAGTAAAGAGGGAGGAGCTAGACCCTTTCAGCGGTCATGGCCCGAGTCCAGCTTTTATTTTGTGTGCAATGGGGGGAGGGGGCAATGGAGGGTTTTGAGAGGGGTGGTAAAATGCTATAGTTTCTATTTTTAAAGATGGCTTTGGTTAGTGCAGGAAGACTAGAACTATAGGGGCAATAGTGGGGCAGGGAGGTGGGGCAAGTTGTCCAGGTAAAAGATGAAAATGGCTAGTGCCGTGGTCGGCAAACTGCGGCTCACGAGCCACACGCGGCTCTTTGTCCCCTTGAATGTGGCTCTTTCTAAGCCTTAGGAGTACACTAATTAAGTTAATAACAATGTACCTACCTATATAGTTTAAGTTTAAAAAATTTGGCTCTCAAAAGAAATTTCAATCGTTGTACTGTTGATATTTGGCTCTGTTGACTAATGAGTTTGCCGACCACTGCGCTAGTGTTGGTGCAAATGGAAGAGAAAGTATAGATGTGGGACATCTTTGGGAGGTGGAGACACAATTATTTACTGACATGTGGTAGAAAGAAAACAGGAGTTAAACATGACTCCTATTGTTTTTGACTCAATCGAGCATCTGGGTGGAGGGTGTGCCATGATCTGAGATGGAGAAAACAGAGAGGAGCAGAATTTAGTACTGAGGGTGGGGTGGGAAGGGGGTGATGAATTATGGATCTAGGTGGGTGAAGAGAGGAGGGAAACTGGAGGGCTAAGATGTCCTCATGATTCCTGGATGGAGGGCTGGCAGTCCTTGTCAGATCAAAGTCTGTTTATGTCAGCATTTGTGTAGTATTAGAGCCTCATGGAAAAATTTTCAAGATGCTGGAACGTGTTGGGTGCTTCTTGCAGTCGTTAGGAAGGCCCTGCAAAAAAAAAAAAAAAAAAAAGAGACACACTCAGGCTGAAGATGGTGGCCCATTCTTCTTATCAAAAGAAAAAGTCATGCCCAGCTGGCATGGCTCAGTGATTGGGTGTTGACCTGTGAATCAGGAGATCACGGCTCTATTCCCAGTCAGGGCATATGCCCAGGTTTTGGGCTCGATCCCCAGTGGGGGGTGTGCAGGAGGCAGTCGATCAATGATTCTCTCTCATCATTGATGTTTCTATCTCGCTCTCCCTCTCCCTTTCTCTCTGAAATCAATAAATATATACTTTTCAAAAAGAAAAAGTCAGACCTCTTGCTGCTCCCTCCCTTCCTGTTACTTGGAAATGTTATTACTGGCTTATGAACATCTAGATAGCATTGTTACAGACCTTCCACCCCTTCCTCAATGTAAGGAGAAGCTGGGAGCCCCATGCTGAGTGAATGACTCATAAAAACAAAGACGGGAGGCTGAGAGGGCCATCTCCCAAGGGGCCCCATGAGTGAGAGTCTGCTAGCAGGCAGGCTGCAAGGGGCATAGGAACTGGGAGGCAGGTGGAGTGTGAAGAAAACAGGAGAAAGAAATCAGAGAGGCCAGTGAGCTGCTGGAGGTCAACATGGGAGCTGAGTGGTAGAGGTGCCAGGGGCAGGGCTTGAAAAGAACCCAGGAGATGGGGAAGCCACACCCTGTGAGAAGCATTAGAATTCTTGAGTTTCAAACCTGGAAGGGCCTTCGGGGACCAGGTGGCTGTCTCCTTCGACAGAAAAGAGGAACTGGTCTGCAAGGAGGAAATGGGAAAAAGCAAATGGGAAATGGAAGAAGGCAAAAGACCAGGTCTCCAAGGTTTAGACGCCACAGAAAGCTGTCAACAGCTCTGAACTGAACTCAGAAAGCCATAGCCCTTTATTTCCCGTCTCTCCATTTGGTAAATGTCTGCCCCCCAAGGGGACAGTTCTGTCCAGCTGCTTTCTTGAAACAAGTGGTCATTCCACCTGTTTGGGAGATATAATCTCCTAGCCTGAATCTGCCCCCTCCCCCATCCAACACACTCCGCCCCTAGTTCTAACTGGGTCCCCTATCACAGGTGCCCAGGCTCACCCATGCTGACCAATACAGGCACATGCATTGCAATGCTCATGGGGTCAGGCAGAGGGAGAGGGTGGAGGTCAATTCCTAAGGGATGGCCAGGGTGGGTGTTGGGGGTGGGAGAAAGGTCAGGATGGGAGATGGGCTGACGCAGCTTCTCCAAGCCATGCAGAAATCCAAAGAAAACACAGCTGGAGTCAGGGCGAGGGAGTGGGGAGCCAGGCGATGCATGTTGACATCTTGGGCAGAAATCCAACTTGGTGTCCTGTAGTCAGTGGAACTGTGTTTACTTGCTTAGACCAGTTACTTCCTCCTGCTTTATCTCAGTTTCCCAATCTGCAAAACAAGGGCCGTAATAGCTATCTCAAAGGATTGCTGAGGATTAAGTGGGATCATTAAAGAAGAGAGTCCAGGGGAGTGGTTAAGGGCATGGGCTCTGGAGCCAGACTGACTTGACCAAATTAATGTCTCTGGGTCTCAGTTTTCTGGTCTGTACAATGGGATGATGATACCTACCTTATAGGATCTTATGACATTTAAGTGAATTAATATTTGTAAAGTTTTTGTTGTTAAAAAACTAGTTAAGCTCTGGTAGGTGTGCTCAGTGGTTAGAGTGATGGCCCGTGCACTGAAGGGTCTCAGGTTCTATCCCAGTCAAAGACACATACCTGTGTTGCAGTTTCATCCAGGCCCAGGTTGGGGTGCGGGCAGGAGGCAACCAATGCATGTCTGTCTGTCTGTCTGTCTATCTCTCTCTCAATCTCTCTCCCCTCCCTCCATTCCACTCCATCTAAAAGCAATAGAAAAACATCCTGGGGTAAGGATTGAAAAAAACACACAAAACTGGTTAATAGTAATAACCAGAGACATTTATTGAGCACTTTGGTGTGCTAAGTACTAGGTTCAGCACTTTATATACTTTATTACATTAAAATTTCCTACCAGAGAGGTAGGCAGGCACTAGATCATTCCCACTTACAGATGTGAAACCTGAGGCCCATAAAGAGAGTTACTTTTCTTTTAATGTATTCTTTTTTAAAATCCTCACCTGAGGCCGAAACCGGTTTGGCTCAGTGGATAGAGCGTCGGCCTGCGGACTGAAAGGTCCCAGGTTCGATTCTGGTCAAGGGCATGTACCTTGGTTGCGCACACATCCCCAGTGGGAGATGTGCAGGAGGCAGCTGATCGATGTTTCTAACTCTCTATCTCTCTCCCTTCCTCTCTGTAAAAAATCAATAAAATATATTTAAAAAAAAAAAGTAAAATCCTCACCTGAGGATATGTTTACTGATATTAGAGAGAAGAAGGGAGAGGGGAGGGAGGGAGAGAGAGAGAGAGAGAGAGAGAGAGAGAGATTGGCTGCCTCTCACAGGCACCCCAACAGGGGACCAAACCCACAACCTGGGTCTGTGCCCTGCCAGGGAATTGAACCCACAACCATTCAGTGCATGGGACCTTGCTCCAACCAACTGAGCCACACCAGCCAGAGCAAGAGATCCTTCTGAGGTCAGAGGCCAAAGCTGGGACCTGACAAGACGGCCAGGCTGCCCCGCAGGGTTACCAAGGAAGCCCAGCGTTTGCTGGCAGAGCCAGTTCCTGGAATTAAAGCAGAACCAGATGAGAGCAACGCCCGTTATTTTCATGTGGTCACTGCCGGCCCCCAGGATTCCCCCTTCGAGGGAGGGGCTTTTAAACTTGAGCTATTCCTTCCTGAAGAATACCCGATGGCAGCACCTAAAGTACGTTTCATGACCGACATTTGACATCCTAATGCAGACAAGTTGGGAAGAACACGTTTAGATATTTTGAAAGATAAGTGGTCCCAGCACTGCAGATTCATGCCGTTCTGCCATCCATCCAGGCCGTGCTCAGTGCTCCCAATCCAGATGACCCAGTAGCCAATGACGTGGCGGAGCAATGGAAGACCAATAAAGCCCACGCCATAGGAGCAGCGAGAGCAGGGACTACCAGGGGTCCTCAAACTACGGCCCGCGGGCCACATGCAAATACAAATATTGTATTTGTTCCCGTTTTGTTTTTTTACTTCAAAATAAGATATGTGCAGTGTGCATAGGAATTTGTTCATAGTTTTTTTTTTAAACTATAGTCCGGCCCTCCAACGGTCTGAGGGACAGTGAACTGGCCCCCTGTTTAAAAAGTTTGAGGACCCTTGGACTAGGCTATATGCCATGGGAAATATTTAAATCGATCTGATCATCAAATGTGCATCACTTCTGTTCTGCCAAGATTTCTTCCTTCTTTGTTTGCATTTAATGGACAGTCTTAGAAATATTACAGAATCAAAGCCCAGACATCTTTCAGTCCTTTGGTGACTAAGTGCACATTAGCAAATCTAGGTCTTGTCCTGATTCCCCATTATAAAGCACGAGCAGAAGCTAGAAGTGCCATCTGGATTGCTGTGAAGTGTTTACAAGCAGTGAGCCCTCTCTGCTTTTATTCATTTCCCCCATCATGGTTTAGTAGAAAGCACTGTGAATGAAGGTGGCTGCCAGGGCTAGCTGCAGGGGGTGGGTGTTTTTCTTTATTTTATTGTTGTTTTGAGGGGGGAAGTTGTTTAATTTTACCTTTATGGGCTCCTTTCCCCCTGTTTATGGTGATCTAATTGCACTGGTTAAAAGCAACTAACCAGTTCTTCACAAGAGGCCCTAACCAAGTCTCACTTTATTTAGATGCTGTAGATGGACAAGCTTGATTGTTTGAACCAAAAATGGGAACATTAAACAAACACCAGGGCCCTCACTAATCACACTGTGACTTTGCTGTCAAATGTGGAAGCCTCCCTTCAAGAAGAGTTTGTGACCATTTTATATGGCTTGTCTGGAAACTTCTGTAAATCTTGTGTTTTAGTAAAATATTTTTTGTTAAAAAGAAAAAAGAGATTTACTTTTTAATTTACTCTAGAACAGGGAGTGGCAAACAGCCCATTGGCTGAATCCAGCGAACAGGGTGTTCACTTCAATATTGTTGAGAGCTGCTTCCACACTACAATGGTAGAGTTGAGCAGCTGTGACAGAGACTGTAGGGCCTGCAAAACCTAAATATGCTATCTGGCCCTTCACGGGAAGAGCTTGCTGACCTCTGCTCTAGAAAGTGACAGTTTCCCTGGGACTGGACTGAGCCAGGTCTGTCTGGTTCCAGAACTCCTCGCTGCTTTGTATCCTGTTTTTGGTTGTTTCTTTGTTTGCAATATCCCTGTGCTGGCTGCACAACAATAGGCTTTCTTTCCTGTCCCTTTGAGGGAAGTCTCCCCTTCCCTCTCCGAAGCCAGGAGTGAAAGTGGAAAGGGGTTTGGAGAGTCCGATCTCTCCATCCTCAGGCAAAGTTTTGGGAGAACAGAGAAACCCAAATAAGGGAGAGAGGCAGACTGAGTAGGCAAGTTCCTGGAATCAAGGTCAGTGACTGTACCTTGTTGTCCCCCGGCCCAGGCCAGGGCTGTGTTTAGAGTCAGCTGGACTGAGACTGGAAAGTGCAGGAGTTGAAAAAGAATCCCAGGCTTGTGTAGGTTTCACCTGCTCCCAGGGACCTGTGAGGGCTCCAAACCAGTTCAGTCACTCAGCAAATACTCAGTACCGGCTCTGTGCCAGGCCCTGTTCTAGACACTGGGAATAAATAGAGACTCGGATCCCAGCTCTCCGGAGACAATGTCTCCATTAGCCAGTAACTTAATAAACCAATATTAAATTGTAACAAGATCTATGAAGAAAATAAACCAAGCTGATATGATTGAGAGTAACTTCTAAGTAGGCAGGGAGGACCTCTCTGAAGAAGTGCCATTTAAGCTGAGACCAAAAGGACAAGGGGCGAGCTGTGGGATGATTAGGTGGAAAAGCATTCCAAGCAGCAGGAGCAGCAAATGCAAAGGCTGTGCGCAAGAATAACTCAAATTGCGTGTTCAAGGAACCAAAGGCCAGGGTGCCTGGCGCAGAAAGAAAAAGGGCAATAGTGGTGCCAGGTGAGACGGGGTAGGCCCTATCACATGCCGGGAAGTCAGGGCAAGGAAGAAGGAGTTTATTCCAAGTGTGATGGAAAGCCACTGGGTGGATGATGGCTAATGATGCTGATGATTGTAGCTAACATTTTAAAAAAATTTTTATTGATTTCAGAGAGAAGAAGGGAGAGGAAGAGAAGGATAGAAACATCAATGATGAGAAAGGATCATTGATTGGCGGCCTCCTACACTCCCCACACTGGAGATCAAGCCCTAAACCCAGGCATGTGCCCCAATCGGAATTGAACCTTGATGTCCTGGTTCATGGGTCAACACTCAACCACTGAGCCACACTGGCTGGGCTGTAGCTAACATTTTTTTGAGCCCTTATCAACGCTAGGTGCTTAGTAAGCCCTTTAATTGCATTAACTCATTTAATGCTCACAAGCAATCCAGATGAGGAAACAGAGGCCCGGAGAGGTTAGACCATTGGTACAAGGTTACATAGCTACATTTATAGCCCGCTGGGGCTGCAGGGGGGACAGTCAGTTGCAAGGGATAAGATCTTATACGAGACAACAATGACACAAAGACAGAGCTTGCACTGCATTTAATGAGAGAAAAGAAAACTAACATCCACCAGGTTTCCTCCAGGAAGAGCGAGGGTTACTAGAGTTCAAACGGACTTTGCAGTACTTCCTCCTCTGGATATCCTTAGCACGTTCTCTAACACCCATTCTGCCTTGCTTGCTTGCTGTCTGTCCCCTAATCATAACAGCTAGCATTTATGTGGTGCTCATGGTGTGCCATGCGTCATGCCCAGCACATGCACTGTGCCCACTGAGTTTATTCTTGCAATAAGCTTATCGTTTCCCTTTTAGAATGAGGAAATTGAGGCTCAGAGCTGCTTATGTGAGGAGCCCAAGACTTGGTACTAAGAATTTATAGCCTAGGATTTGAACCCTGGGCGGTCAGACACAAGAGTCTAAGCTTTCAGCTACTGGGCTATGACCACCCACCTCCCACCTTTCCCTGAACAGTGAGTCCATGGGTTCCCCAATAGAGGCCACAGGATGGCCTTCACCTTTAGTTGCCTGAGGAGGGTTAAAGATAGTGCCCACCTCACAGGTTCAGAAGCCAAATGAGTTCATGTGATCTAGGGAGGCCAATGTTCTGGTTTGCCTGGGACTGGAGGGGTTCCCAGGAAGGGAGACATTCTGTTTCTTTCTTTTCTTTTAGAGAATTTTTATTAGAGTTTATTTAAGCCACGCTGATGACATCCTGGGAAGCAAGATCTCAAATGCAAGTTGGGCATGAGCGCTTGTCGCTCAATACGTATTCAATGGACGTTAGTCATTATTGCTTCTCCTTTCCTCTGTGATCAGTTTGACAACCAAAAGGTAGCAAGCACCTACTCTGCCCTGTCCTAGGAGCTGGGAACACTGTAGGCAGTAGATCTTCAGAGGGAGATGGGGGCGGGGGTGTTATTGTTCAGAGAACCTAGCTCCAAAGGTTCACACACAAAAATTCACAGTTCCCCGGCAAATGCCAAACCTTCTGGGGTGATTCCAGCAGCCTGTGTGGACTTGCTTGGACCCCGTGGGAGAGGTTGCAGGGCCCTTTACGTCCCCAGGTAGTGACACAGAGACAGTTGGGGGATTGTGGGTGGATGGGAGGAAAACATGTGCCTTTGGCATTGACTTTCTGGCTTGCCCGGGGCTGTAATAAAGGCCTAAGGGGCAGTTCCTTTTATCACACACAT